AAAATAATCGTGAGTGCTGCACTTTGAGCGGAAATTCAAGTGTGTGGTGGGACCAAATTTTAACCACTTATTTCAACTGCAAAATTAATGTTATAAAAATTGAATCCAATTAAGATTTTTGAAAATAAAATACCTTTGAATATTAAAAAAATCATACATATCATAAATTGTATACCAAAATTTTTAAAATATGGAAAAATGCGAGATACATGGATATCACTCTTGTGATCCTATTTTGAATATGTTTTGTTTTAACTTAAGCCCTGGTTATAGTAGTAACATATACTGAGAAAAATAATAACTAAAATAGATTTTTAAAAGATTAGAAAATTTCTAACGGAAATTGCTAAGTGAGAAAATAAATATTAATTAGGTGGGACATATATTGACCCACCATGCCGCAAAGGGTTAACGGATTCCTGGCCCAATTCATTTCTTCTTAACGGACCTAATTTTTCTTCGAGTCTTCATTTCTTCTTTAAATGTAGCAAAGGCTACCATGAATTGTTTTAAATGTTCTTCCATCGCTATTGTTATTGGCATTCAAAACCCCACTCCTGACACCAAAAATTGTTGCGTGCGTACGGGTTCGTTATGAAATGAATGCACAAGTCCGATGAAAAATGAACAAAAATTTATTATTATCACAACAAAAAATGCTTAAATTTTCTCAAATTATCATGCAGTATTCACAATATCTCACAAGTAGTTATCTTTTAACTACTCTTAAATGTCCAATAGAACGTAATTCAAAACAGCTAAAGAACGCTAATCCGCGAATTCGCTACAATCAACAAGAGCAGTTTTCTAAACAACAACAAACTAAGCAGCACTACTACAAACTGAGAGTTTTCCTCCTTTTATAAGATTTTAAAATCACGCGCTAGAATTTTCCAGTACTTTCTCGAAATCAAAAAGAGATATTTATTTATTTAACGCACGCGCTCTTGTATTTTTAATTTTTCCGGCTTAGCTTTCTTTTAATATTCGTCACGTGCTGCACTGCGCGAGAAATAAAACCATTTAATTTATAATTGAACTAACATTAGCTTTTTAAATACCAAATTCGTAACAATATTATGGCAATAGAATATATATTATGTTTAATTTTTTAAATGAATGTGTAATAAACTGATCTTATTTGTAATGAATAATATATTTAAATTCATGAGAAGAATTTGTTAACATCCCCTCTTATATCTGTTGCTCTTAAATCACTTGATCCTACTTGCAGAAGAAATTTTTTTTATTTATTTATTTAAGCTCACTCAGAAGGAATTTTTTGCATACATTTGGCATCACTCGGTGGAAAAAAAGGAGAAAATGTGTTTTTTCTCTCTTAAGGTAATGAGGAAATGAAAGTAGAAACTCAGTAATGTGGCATGCTAAGTATATGTTTGAATAATCTTTTTTTTTTTTTTTTTTTTTTTTTTTTCCGTTTTTACTTATCAAGTAAGTAAGAATTATTTGTATGCTGCTGTTTTGATTTTACGTACTGGCAGTTTTTTTTTTTTTTTTTTTTTTTTTTTTTTTATAATTAACATGCATGCACGAACTGAAAAATGAGATTTTCACTTTAAAAGGCAAAGCAAAAAATAGTTGCTTTAATCATTTCAAACAGTACTGTGATTTTAACAGTACTGCAGTGTCTGGTGGAGCTATGAGTGCTGATGTAAAATCAGTCCTTTTATTTCCCAGATAATTAGAGAAAATGATTCAAAGAGTGCTAAAGATAGTTGTTCTGCTAAAGATACAGAATGCTAAAGATAGTTGTTCTAAAAACTATCTTTAGCATTCCGAAAACTGTATTTAACGCTGACAGAATATGACTTTTCTTTAAAAAAAATATGCACAAAGGAATATTTAATGCATAAGAAAAGATAATATGTCCTGGATCTAAATTTCAGAGGATAGGCTACCTTAATACTTTTTTTCTATTAATATAGTAGCAGTCATCATCAAACATAAATACTGACATTAAATGTAACCTGAAATAATAATGCAGTCCTAATGATATTTTTAAGAAATATTACTACTAAAAATTATGCATAAATATTTTAGAAAAATATAAGAGAATTCTATAAGTATTTCTGAGAACATGAATGATTATTGATTTCTTCTTTTGGATCGTGATGATTTTGTTTGTGTGTATTGCATTAGCACTTAAAAATAACTTCATTTTGTGATTATTCGAAAATCTTTTTCTAAAGATAATTCTTCTTTCCTGAAAGAAGATTCTTCATCATCTGTCATTGCCAAATTGTAAAATCTGTCTTGATCCATTCATTAAGAATTCAACAATAAGTCAAAATTTTACATAAAATCGATCAAAAAATGAAGTCACAATACATGGTATATTGAATGGTATAAAATTGCTGTCACTGATGTATTAGTGCACTTTTTGATGCTTTGAACTTTGCAGTTGAGTACTGCTGTATCTAATATTTTGTGGTACTATAAGTATTGATTGTTAAACTGAAATTAGAGAACCCTGAGAATCCATAATCTGAAGAACGAATTTAAATCTAGCTTTCCAGTTATCTGGAAAATGAATTCTCGCTTCTTTGTTTGAAAACTCTCTTGGTCATTATTGTACGCCAGAAGGTGAGTGTTATTATCACTTGCGCTAGTTATCTGGAAAATGAATTCTCACTTCTTTGTTTGAAAACTCTATTAGTCATTATTGTATGCCAGAAGCTGAGTGTTATTATCACTAAACTTAAGTTTTTTTAAACACTGGTGATGCTGTTGGCAAGGGTCTTCGAGTTTTATACTTTAATCCAAGAACAAAAATTGCTTTCTTCATTCCTGAACATTAGTGTACTTCAACCAATGAATAAAGAAAGTATTACTTCATTTAAAACATATTATGTACTTTTACTTTAAAACTCTAAAAGAGAATAAGGCAATTATAGTTAAGAACATTTATAAGAAATTTGTTATCATGGATATTCGCTAGCAAAAGTGGCACATAGATGATACTTGACAGAAAAAAATAATGAAAATTATTTTAAAGTATCTGTGCTAACTCCTCCTTCTCAAAGATCACAAATTCTGCAGCTTTCACAAAGATCAGTTTTGTTTTATGCGTAGTAAATGACATCATTAAAGAGAGAAAAAAACTTTCCAAAGTAAAACATAAAATTACGCAAAGCAATGACTTTCTATTTGGTGTATAATTCAACCAAGACATTTGAGGATGACAGATTCAGGTTCTTCATCATCAGGAGAAAAGAAATTCTATAAAGAAGGAGGCTGTATTTAACAAAAAAAAAAGGAGGGGAGAGTAAAATTAACAAGAAGATAGTACATCTATCCACAGAAATAGTAACAAAATGGGAAACATTAACTTGCTAGAATTTTAAAAGCATTAGAAAGAAGTGGATTAGTCATTAACTAAGCAAGATAAATATTTGTGATTGTGAAAAGCTTCAAGAAAATCCAATTCACCAACTTTTTTATTAATATCTGCAGACTCATCAACACTGTGATTAAATTTCCAACAATTATTAGTTGTCAAAGATTTGTTTATTTCTTTTTGTCGGACATAAGATTCATGCTCCCTAATGCAAAACTCTAGTACTCTTTTAGTTTGGTCAATATATAAATTGCATTAACAAGATATGCTAAGAATTCCACAAGAATTGAAGTCAGAAATGGAAACTTTAAGAATTAAATAACAGATTTTATTGATAGTTGAAAAAAGCTGATGTGAAAATTGAAATTCTGGAGAATCCATGTAATTTTGTAATTGGAAGAAGGATTAAATGGAATAAGGATAAGGTTATAAATGTTATTTCTGACTAGTGGCAAGTTGAAAGTTTTTAAAGGCTTCAAAAAATTTTCATCTTGCCATCAAAGAAGACATTCCACCGTTAAAAATAATGTTAATAACTTTGTTGTTCTTCTAAATCTTAAAATTAATACTAAGGAATATGAAGCATAAATCCTCTGTTGCTCAACATGTTCATTTAAAAATTTAAAAAAAAAAAAAAAAATTCTTTTTGGAAGCCAAAATTATTCAAAAAGTGTCTTCCACTGGCAAAATATATTTTCTAGTGGTATTTCATATTTATAAAAATCTTTCAGATCCCCTTAATAATATTCCAAATTTCAATCTGAATTTTCTTTTCAAGAAATTATTTCATAGTTGTTTTCATTTTTCATAAATAGATGATGTTAGTAGTTGTGTTTTCATTTTTTGATGGATCTTTCAAATTTTCTAGTGTATTGTTCTCACTGATAAGCACAGACATTTCTTTTGTCATATTCTCTTTGGCAACTGAAAAAGAAGATTGTGTGTCAAACCTTTGATACCAGAACTGTAAATTTATAAAAATTGTTGCTGATTCCTGTTATTTGAACTCTCTAATAATTGTTTGTTCAGGATGTTATTTTTACTTTGATATTTTGTGCACTTAAAGAATATAAAAGCATTCATGAAACTAATGTGATTAAAAAATACCGTTTTTTATGTGTGTGAATGAAGCTAGTAACATACTATGATCATATAATTTTTTGTTATTATCATTCTAAGTTTATTAATCAAGAATAAACCACTTTTACCATGGTTTGTTCACTATTTATGTACTTAGGTTTAAGAACATTAAAACACTCATATTTCTTCGGTTTATCTTTTCTTTCATTTATCAGTTCAAAACATCTTAGCTTAATAAGAGTTGTTTTACTTTTAAAATGATGATCAAAATAAAGAATGTTATATTTCAGTTATTGGTGATTCTGTATAAAATCTATAAAATTATTTTTGAAGATAATGCATTGGGACAAACATTTCACATAATTATTTTTATTATAAATGAGAGATTTAAAAATTGTATACTTAATTCTTGCAAAGAAGGACAACTTATTTGGTCCATGCATATATATTAATTAATATATTTGTTTGTATAATTGGTTTGTAATTTGTATATACTGATGAAATTTATTATGTGTTTTAGTAAATCTGTAATTTTCACATATATTAATTTTTTCTTTTTCAGAGTGTCACGCCGGCTCAAAGAACGTTTTGAAAAATCTTTCAATGTATCAGCTGTTGAAATGTTAACTATAAATGGAAATATATTTGTTTTAGTCAATAGCATGGCATTACAAGGTGATAATTGTTTTCTTTGCAAACCTGCTGAAGAAAAGCTTAAAGAAATACATGAAAAATTAAGATGTGCCAAGGTAAAATTAGTCTCTTAATTAGCTACTTTTTTAAAAATAAGAAATTACTTTCTTTGTAATCCAAGATTTTTTTTTATATGAACTAAAAGAAGAATGTTAAGGTTCTTTTAATTACTAATGGTAATAAAACTTTGTTTCTACACATAGATTTGCAAAATGCAGGTGTAATAAGGCAGGGGTGTTTGTGCTCCAGGGAAACCCCGGAATTCCGGGGATTTTGAACTTCGGGATCGTCGTTCAAAAGGAAGTAGGAATAATAATGAATTATTTATTTTGATCTGGGTAATTTTGTTTGCTTTGAAAGCAGAAAACGCAAGGTCAGTGTGTGTGGTGAAAACTTTTCCTTTCTTTCTCCAAATGCAGTGATAATGCGTGAAAAGGGGGAAAAAACTTCTTTTTTGTTCTTTCCTTATTGCGAGTTATGACTCATTCCCCCGGTTCTCGGACATTCTCTTCTGGATTCTTTTGGACAAGTAGGCGCGGCAGAAAAAAAAGGGAGAGACTTCGTTTGACCAGATGTGCGATCACGTGACTCTGGGTTCAAAGGTCTTATCTCTCCTGGCATGGTGCCAAAAGTAGAGAAGGGGATTTTTCGTCGTCGTATTAGCTATTTGTCATTGATCGCTTCTCAATCATTTTTTTTTCTCCGCTGTGTAAAATTTTCGTTTCATTTATTGATGCACGTGTAAATTTTTCGTTTCGTTTATTGAAAATTTTTTTTATTTATGTACGCAAGAGAATTTCACTATGAAATTTCTCGATATAAATAGTGATATTATACAATTAGAAGAAGGTGTCTGGAATGCATTTAGGTGGAATTGGATTGAACGGAGAGATGGTAATGGGGATACCATCGGCACATGGTGCAAGAAAATAAATGTTGCTGGACAAGCATATTGTGTTTTTTTGTAACTCACTGCTGAAGTATGGTGGGGAAGGATTCAAGGCTTTCAAATCATTCTTCTAAAACTGTGACGCACATAAAATATTCAAAGGGCATTAGACATTCAATGACTTTAAGTAATTATGCTAAATTCAAAAATACTGATGACTTACTGGAGACTGATGCTCGGCCATTGGATATAGTGACAAGAAAAGCACGCCAAGAGGTATTAATAACTTCGTTTATCGCCGAGAATTCTCTTTCTTTCAATGTAGCTCCCAATTTAATTGAACTCTGCAAACAGTTGAGCCGCGATCAGACGGCACTAAACTCGTTGGAAATGTCCAGGACTACTGCATGTTATAAGATGAAATATGGGCTCGCAAAAACTATTAAGGAAAATATCATTAAAACTTTAAAGGAGACTCCATTTTCTCTAAATTTGGATGAAAGTACTAGCAATGCTCAAGAAAGTATACTGGCAATATTGGTGCAGTTTTATGACAACAATCAAAATGAAGTTGTAGTTCATCATTTTGCATCTCTAAAGATGGAATCTTGCAATTCAGAAGCTGTTTTTAAAGCAGTTGTTAATACTATTGAAGATAATAATATTCCATGGGCAAACTTAATTAGTGTATTAATGGACTCATGTAACACCATGCGTGGGAAAAAAAAAGGGTGTTGAAACCAGACTACGATCAAACAAAGCACCCCACTTATTAGATATTGATGGTGACACATGTCACACAGCTAATAACTGTGCAAAAAAATTTGCTTCATGTTTTGATAGATACTTAGAAGATTTGTTTGATGACATCTATTTTGATATGAAAAGCTGCAGTAAAAGAGAAAATTTTTTCAAAATCTGTGAATCCCTTGCCATTAAAAAACTTAAGCCCTTGAAGAGACCAGACCATAGGTGGGTGTACATTTTATGTGTTTTAGAAAGAATCAAAGATCTGTGGGATGCTCTTATTGCATTTTATTTTCACTACTTGGATAAAACTGATAAAGGGGATTATTTTTTCTTATGTTGAAACTGTATACAATAAAAGAAATATTTCTGCAGCTCAGAAAAAAATTGTTGAAGGGGTGTATTCTTGCTTGCATTCCCAACAACTCACAAAGGATGCTTTAGCTCGGAAAAAAAGAATACTAAATGGGTTATTTGTTATGCAAAACAAAACTTTATTGCATATGGCATTATATTCAGCAGTATTACCAGAGTTCAACACATATATTAAATTATTTGAAACAAAAAAAACCAATGCTTCATTTAATACATTCCAGTATTTATAAATTGATGGCAAAATTTTTTCTCTTTTTTTATGAAGCCAGAAAATATAGAGTGCACATCTTATAATGATTTATTAAAGGTTGATGTCACAAATCCAGAATTCCATCTACCTAGCAAAGTAATATTTACTGGTGCAGAAGCTTCCACTCTCCTGAAGAAATTATCAAAAAATCATCCAATAGCAAAAGAATTCCAAATTTCTCTGATGAAAGCTTATACTAATACAGCACAGCATATGAAACAGAAATTACCCCTTAAAAATTCATATCTAATTAGTTTTACAGCATTAGATCCAGAGCTAAGAGGTAAAACCAGTACAATATTAGCTTTTGAAAAATTATCATCTTTTATGTCCCATATTTTTAGTGATAATGAAAAGTCAAAAGTAGAAGCTGAAATAAGGTTATACCAGAGTGATATTGATATCACCAAAGAAATGCTCTACACATCTGATGAAAGTGGAAATCAAGTCAAGTGTACAATTGATAAATATTGGTCTAAAGTTTTTAATTTAAAAGATGATTTCACAAATGATTATAAGTATCCTACATTGGCTAAATTGGTCAAAGCCTGCCTTAGCTGCTTCCATGGCCCATTAGTGGAAAGTGCATTCAACTTAATGGATACACTTGTCACTGACTATAGAACCTCTCTTAAGATTGATTCCCTAGATGCAGTGCAGACTATTAAATATGATTTAATTGCTTCTAAAGAAACCTCATGTGTGAAAAATATGGCTAAAAAAATCCAATGACTGATCCAATTCACAAAGATCTCTTACTGAATATGAACAGAAGTTGGAAAACATATCAAGAGGACTTAAAAACATGTATTTCAGATGAGTCACCTATAAAAGTCTCTGAAAAACCTTCTACATTAGCAGAAAAGCAAACTGCTTCTACCTCTGCATGTGCAGTTCTCGAGGAAATTTCTTCAACTGTAAATGAGGAAAATAAAAGTCAACCTTCCTGCAATTATGAAGTTCACCACAAAAGAAAGACAAGCCCACACAACATCAGAAAATAAAAAAAAAGCAGCAGAAATTAGATAATTTTTTTTTTAAAGAATTAATTCAGGTAATTTAAAATATTTACATAAAATGTAGTAGTTTATATGTTTGAAAATTTATGGTTATTAATTTTGCAAAAAAAGTAATTCATTGAACTTTTATAATTAGGTCATTCAATACTTCATAATAATTGTAATTTTTCATTTCTCTCCCCCCCTTCTCGAAACTCCAAAATGTCGGTAGTAAGTCCGTAAAAGTTTCAGGGGATTTTTTTGGGGTCCCCAAACCCCCTGATCATTATAAATTTAGTCATATGATGTACTGATTTGCCATTATTTATTTTATTTTAATCTAAATTTTTTCTTTTATATGGGTTTTTACATGCCCAATTTTACTCATTTTTCCCCTTTTTTACTAGTTTCATCGTGTGAAAATCAAGAGGAAAATTATGTGAGTAATTTAATTTTCAAAGAATGCAGTTACAATAAGAACAAAAAAAAAAAAAAAAAAAAAAAAATGAAAAATATTCGTGGATAAACAACTGCCATTAATTATCACAATATTATTTATTTAAAAGAAACCTGCTCTGTAATAAGAATACATAGTGATATTAACATTGCGGTATCTATATCTTTTTTTCTTCCGTGTATCTTCAGTCTCGCCTGCTATTCATGTCTACTACTACTCCCTTGGCTTCAAATTATCAAGTGCTGCTGTTTTGTGTGGCCTGCTACATTTTGCAAGTCGTCTGTATCATTACCATTACTCATGTCTTTATCACCATTTAGTCTGTCTTCACAAATGCAATGATCTTCAAAACCATCAAGGACATTAGATATACCTGTTTTTTTTTTTTTTTTTTTTTTTTTTGAAGCTTTCCACTTTTACTGCGCCATAAGTCAGAATACATGCACCTAAAATCCAAAAGCAAATCAATTAATAAGATGAGAACAGTCTCTACAGGGACAAATCCATTTTAAAATTTAGAGAAGCTCACTTTCTGAATGCTTTGAAGAAAGAAAAAATTACGTGAATATTAAAAACATTTTCAGAATCTTGTGCTAAAGGCTAAAAGGAAAAATATGCAAGTAGTAAAAATACATGAGTAAATATGGTATGCATATATATATCGGGTCAGTCCATAAGTTCGTGTGCATTAAGAGTATACATGGAATTCATTATGATGCATTTACTAAAATAATACAATTTTGAACCTGTTGAAACTTGTCATCGTTTGACTAACATATTATTCAGTTTATCACCAACTTCCGTAAATATCAAACACATTTTAGTACCCATAGGAGATGAATATAGATAATCAGTACAAATGTGCTGTGCTACATTTTTTATTTTTGTGTGGTGAATCTGCCAGGTTTGCAGCAGTAAAAATTAATAGTGTACATGGTGAACACACTATTAGTGTAAGAACTGCCCAGAAATGGCTTAAAAAATTTAAAGTTGGAAAAAGCAGCATTGATGATGAACCCCATTCAGGACGTTTTGAACTGTTAGAACCAAATCAAACGATTAATTCAGAAGTTTATAGTGAACAACTTTGCCATCTTAACTCAGAATTGATAAAAAAAAAGGCCCACAATTGGTGAATATCAAGAAAGTGTTGTTTCATCATGATAACGCTAGACTGCATATGGCTCGAACAACACTGCAAAAAATTAGTGAATTTAATTGTGAGCTTTCGCCACATCTTGCTTATTCCCCAGATATTGCCCCAAGTGATTTTCATTTATTTTGTGACTTACAAATACTTTACTGGGAAAAAAATTAAATTCTGAAAAGGATGTACACAATGAACTTTCAAGTTTTTTTACATCAAAACCAGTCTTTCTACAGCAATGGCATAAAAAAAGCTGCCTCTAAGATGGTGAGATATTGTAGATAATGGAGGAAAATATATAATTGATTAAAATGTTAAATTGTGTTTTTTTATATTACTTAAAAATTTACCAAAAAATTTGCACGAATTTATGGACTAACCCAATATATACGTATACAGTACAAAGTCTGAGATCCCGAATGGTCTAAGATTTGGACCTCAAAGGCAACAACAACATTTTTTTTAATATGCTTTATGCCTGTCCATTTGATTCCCTGCTCCACTCATAATAAAACACATGGCGAGTCCCGATTCGTAATTTCACTTTAGCACTAAATAAAATACCTTGTTATTGAAGAAACAATCATTTTAGCATAAATTTTGTATGATCGAGAATTTGGCTCTAATCTGTAACTGCTTGGTATACATTTCAAACCAAAACATTCTACATAGATACATTGTTGATTTTACACCTATTAATATTTTATATCCCTGACGCCAACCTGGGAATCATTATTTATTATATTATGCTTTTATCACGGCATCTTTATCAACACATGACAACTTGAATAATGACTCATGTAGTGATGCCTAAACAACTTTTTTATGTTATTAATTCAATAATAAATGTATGGTAACCTTTTGTGTTGACATTACGCTTGGTGATGATTACAGAGTTAAGTTCGCTAAGAAAAGTTAACAAGGACATATTTAAGAAAAATTTCTTTCCATATGCTAAAAGTAAATTTTCTTGATGATACTGATAAGCCAAAAGATTACATTATTGCTATTTGAATTAAGAATAACTGATTTGTTATTCTCATAAACCCAGAACCAGTGCCAGGTCTCGTATGGCTGCACCGGGCAACAGAATTTAGGGAAGACAAAGGGAGGCAGTTGGTAGCAGAATTTGAGACCTACAAAGACTGCACCAGGCAGTAAAATATCTAGTACCAGCCCTCATTATGCCTTAAGTATATGTGGGAATTTATTTATTCAGGAGTCAGATAAGCCTTAAGCATGTGCAAGAAATAGACGTAAGTATAACAAATAACTTATACAATTCAGAGTTAATTGGCTCAGGACACGATAGAAGAAGATAAAATTTAGCGGAACAACTTGTCTTTAGTCACCAGTCTCATGATACATAGCCAAATATGTATAATGAATGATATCTAAATTTTATGATGACAGCCGTGAATTTTGAAGGTTTTCAAATATCGCAAAGCAAAGGTGAAATTTTCCAATTAAAGGATTTTGTAAAGAAATGTGGAGAAGCGATAATAAATGATGATGATATTGAAGATTTTCATTGTGATGACAGCGCTTCTCAATCATCAATCAATTAATAAATGGCAAAATCTATAGTATGGTTCTAGATCAAGAAAATACCGCTACTCATAATGAAGAAAGTGAGAGGACTTACTGATGGCAAAAAAATTTTGATTGACAAGTTAATCGGAGTTCTCGACACAGCAATTACAGGACTTCAACTATGTAACTGAACAAGAAGTTATGTCTGTCTAGAGAATTAAAAAGAAACTATTAGCACACACAAAAAAAAAAAAAAAACGAAGCAACCTAAACAATGCATTGAAAGAAATGTTTAATAAAGTAAACAAATAAATATCAAGTTTTATTTTTTGTAAATTTTGACCCCCCCTTTTTTGAAGCATTTAGGATTTTGATCATAAATGTGTCATTATTTCATGAATCATGATTTCATGTTTTTAATTTTATAATTTCTACATGTCATCTTACTAGATTTAAACTGATGATCTAATATCCTTAATCGCGGAAGTCCCATTGACTCCGGATCTCAGATTTTGTATTGTATGTATGTATGTGTGTGTGTGTGTATATATATATAAAATGAAGTAATGAAACTTGATAATTTTGGATTATATATATATATAACTAATTTTTCACAAAGACCAAAAATTGAAATTCGTAATTAAAAATCTTAAAATTTACAATATTAACTGCTATGACTTTAAAAATCTCTACACGTCTCTCCCACTCAAAGAAATCTATGAAAGTCTTTTGGAAATGACAGAATTTTTTCCTGAAATACTTAATATTCTGGATTTACAAAAATGATTACTACATTTTTCACTATATAATAACTATATTAATCATTCAAACATTCTTTTCTTGCAAACACAAATTCCAATGTAAAGTTCATATTCCACTCATATTTGTGACTTATTTCTATTTTCCAAAGAATTCAAATTCTTAAAGGGCCTTTCTGGTAATGATTTCAGTAAATTTGAACACACCTACAGATATATTGATGACATTATTACTTTCAACAATTATAATCTCATTGAAAACAGCAACATCTACCTAAACTGTCTAAAACATAAAAAGACCAATAGAAACCAAACAAATAGTTTATCTTGATCTAAGTATTTATAATCTTAACAGAAATTAAACTTTTTGGTAAAAGAAAAGATTTTACTTTTTCTACTAATAATTTTAAAAATTGGAACTACAACCTATCTAAAAAAAGTTATTCCAAATACTATCATTAACCAAATTAGCAGACTTCAAAAAATTTTGCACAGAAGTAGAAACACAAAAAGAAGAAATTCTAATTCTTACCAAAATTTTAAAAGAAAATGAAATTCCCTTAGACTTCATTAATAGTCTGTTAAAGAAATCTGAGTAGTCGACACCCTATAATACTTTTAAAAATATTAATTTATTATCTGAAAGCTCCCCAAAATAGAAGGATTTTTTTAAAGGGTTTATAGGATTTTATTTTTTTATTTATTTTTATTTTTCTCTTAATTACTTTTCTGTTATTAATCAAGGGCCTTATATATTCAAAGTCGTCATGATAAGCCCATGAGGGGAATACTTTTTACTTTATAACAATAGTTCCTTTACTTCTTTTTTCAACCTTTTTCTGTAATTTTAAATAAAATTAAAACTGAAATTCAACTTTATGGATATTTCTACTCATATATACAAAACAATTATTAAAAACTTTTTGACCACTTTTTGGGCACCTTTTTGAGTCTACTATTTTTAAAGAATAATTGATTTTAAAATTTAATTAAAGTTTTATGCTGATATTCTTTATTACCATTTTTGTTTTAAAAGAGTCAGAATTTACTTTAATTTCATTGTAATTAGTAATCTTTTTCTTTGTCTAAATTAAAATTTACATAGAAGTATTTAAAAGTTTTTCTTTTGGTTTCAAAATTCCATCATTTGTTCCAATTTTTAACCTTTATTCTCACCAAGGTATTTTAGTTTTACCAAAAAAGCCAAAATGTCAAACCTATATGTCAGTACTGTAATGATCTTCACAATTTCAAATGCGTTCTAATGAAAGTGCTCGAGGTTTTTAATTACTTCTTGTGAGTTTTAATTAAGCCTTTTCACTAAAGTTGTATAATTTCACTTGCATTTTAAATTCTGTGGATTATATGCTATTTGTTTAAAGGTAAAATTTTGATTTGAATTTTTCACTGAGATATTTTGTTATTTCACTTATGTTTTCATTCTTTCAGTAGAATTCTCTTTGTTTAAGGTACATGGTTATAATTAGAATTTACTCTGTTTTTTTTTTTTTTTTTTTTTTTTTTTTTTTCTTGCTTTGGGGAGGTGCCAGAATTTTTGGGTGAACTGTTATAGCTAAAATACATTGAAATGATTCATTGACTAATTCTGGATACAGAAAAACAAGAATTTTTGTGAAAGAGAGATATGAATTGATTTCAAAGTTCCTCCTCCTGATGAAGTGGCATTGAAGTTGATTGAATTGCTCTTCTATTATGTTTGTTTTTCTTTAAACTTCTTTTTTTTAATTGGGGTATTGCTTGTTTGAAAAGTTTTTGTTTTAGCGTTTTAAAATTCTTTATTGCTTTTATAGGATTATTTGAAATTTATCAATTATGAATTTCAATTTTTGGTCTTTGTGAAAAATTAGTTCTAAATTTCTTACTTTATCCTTTCATAGATGTAATTGGAATTCCAGTTACATCTATAAAAGACAGTTAAATCTGTTTTAAAATTTTATGCTATTTTAATTTTTGAAGTAAGTCAAATACCAGATTCATCCAAAGTACT